CACTGAGCTTGTCAACCTGACTTCTCAGATCTATTTGAATAATTAATTCTCTGAGAAAAAGATTAACAAGATCTCTTCTAAGTAATTAATAACAGAATCTAAACAGTGCTGTGATGACTTCAGAGTGAAGAAAGTAAAGAAGAATTTCAAGTATTCTGATTCTTCACTTACTGTGAAGAAATATTAAAAAAGATTTGATAAAGATCTCTGTTTCAACTGTGAAGCTGATGAACACTATATCAGTGATTGTAAGAAGCTGAAGAAGAGAAGAAACTGAGAAGATATCTTCTCAAAGTTAACTTCTCTTCTGATAAACACATCTGTGAAAGATAAAGAAGAGAAAGAAATGAAGAATTGATAATTCTCATATCTCTAAGTTCATGTTATAATCACAATACATACTCTGAATGAGGAGATATCAGTGAGATGTCTACTCAACTCTGAGATAGATACTAACTTCATATTCTATTTCTTTTCTTTGATAAAGAGTTGAAAGAAGATAGATCTGTCAGATCATGTGAAATTTACTGATGAAATAAAATATCATTATTTTGATATAATTCAAGTAAAGTGTGTGATCACAGACTCAGAAGAAATCTTCAAGAAGAGCAGTCTGCTTCTTCACACAGTTAATATTATAGATGAGAATGTCATTCTAGATCTTCTGTAATTGAGAGAAAACAATTCTCTCATTGACTGAGTTACTCAGGTGTGACAGTACTGTCTCACTGATGAAGAGACAGTGATAGAGAAATCTGAAGAGTTTCATTGAAAGAATCTTGAGAAAAAGATAGAGTCAATATACTGTATAGCAGATGATTGAGACTTGAGAATAAGTAAAGAAGCTATCACTCTTGCTGCAAGATTAGCAGCAGTATCTGTCATTGAAGATAGATGTATATGATGTCTCTTTACAGATTATAAGAATATCTTTTTAGAAAGAGAAGCAGTGAAGTTTCCTGATATCAAGATATGATATAAGATTTGTCTTGAAGACAGTGTAATGACACTGTACAGGCCTCTTTACAACTTATCTGTAAAGGAATTGAATGTTCTGCACAAATATCTTGAAGAAGCACAATCAAAGAACTGAATACACTTATCAAAGAGTCTGACAGAGGTGTCTATACTCTTTGTACTTAAGAAGAATGATAGGCTATGCTTATGTATAGACTACAGAGACCTTAATAAGATGACAGTTAAGAATCACTATTCATTACTATTGATTAATGAGATGATTGATTGATTATCTGAAGCAAAGATGTTCTCAAAGATTGATATACAGAATATCTATCATAGAATCAGGGTTAATAAAGATGATGTTTGAAAAACAGCTTTTCATACTAAGTATGATAATTTTGAATATCTTGTTTTGTCTTTTGATCTTTGTAATGCTTCAGCCATCTTTCAGATCTATATAAATGAGATGCTGCAGGGCCTTGTTGACATCTTCTATATAGTATATCTGAACAATATTCTAATCTTCTTGAAATCAGAGAAAGAACATGATACTCATGTTCAAGAAGTGTTGAGTCACTTGAGACAGTATCAACTCTATACAAATACTGAAAAATGCTTATTCTACATGCAGAAGATTGATTTCTTAGATTATATTATTAAAGTGAACAGCATTTCAATGAACAGGAGCTGAGTCTCTGTCATTGAGAACTGGCCAGCACTGTGAATGTACTGTGAGATGCAGATGTTTCTAGAATTTGCAAATTTCTACAGACAATTCATTTATATATATTCACAGATTACTGTCTCTCTGACAGATCTGTTAAAGAAAAGTGTGAAAGACAGAAAAATAAGACTGTTTATCCTCACTCAAGACATCACACAGGTATTTGTAGAATTGAAACAAGCTTTTACAGATGTTACAATACTGAATCACTTTAACTCTGATTTACTCAGTCAGTGTGAGACTGATATATCTGAGAATGAGATCTGTGAAATCTTTTCACAGTTGACACTGAAGGTCTTTCAACATTGAAAGAATCAGAGAATAATCACTTCTGAGAAAACAGACAATGAATTATCTATAAGAGAAGGCTTTTTCACAGAGTCTATAAGATACTGTGAATGAAGATCAGTGACCTTCTTCTTTAAGAAGTTATCACTTATATAGAAAAGATATAATACTCATGATCAGAAGATGTTAGCAATTGTTAAATTCTTTAAGATCTGATAACATTATCTTCAGAGTAGTAAGTACTCAGTGCAAGTTCTTACTAATCATACAAATCTGTATTACTTCTTGACAACAAAGAGCTTGACAGAATGTCAAGCCAGATGAGTGAAGCTACTTTCAGAGTATAATTTTTATATCTGATATTATTCAGATCAGCTTAACTCTGCTGACACACTGTCTAGACAGCCTGATTATAATATTATTAATGCAGAGAAGAATTCTATAAAAGAACCTCTGTCATCACTGCAGAAGAAGCTGACTGCAGAGAGTTGAGATTCTCTGAAGCTTGAAAACAGTGCTGATAAGGCAGCTGTATGACTCAGTATAGAAGATGAAAGAAAACCCAGGTCTCTGCAGAAGACTGACACTGAAGATTATGAGCTTCTCATATTATATCTTACAATTATTAAATTGATAAAGAATGAAATGATCTACAATCTTTCAACTCAACTACTTTTGAAATTCATTGATAAGTTATAGAAGAGAGATGCCTCTACTGCAGCTTGAATTCAGAAGTTGAAGAAGAAAGAATCTGGTTTAAACTTGAAAGAGACAGACTCTGAGTGAGGCAGTGCTGCTAAGAAATCAAGTCACTGATAACTAGAAGAATGTGAACTTCTACTGCTGAATGATTCAGTCTTTGTCCCTTGTAGCAGAGTGATGTGTCAGGAGTTATTGAAGATTTATTATAATAATTCTCATATAGAGCACTTCAGATTAGAGAAGACTGAGAAGCTTCTAAAATATAAATATATTTAAGACAAGCTTTAGACAGATGTCAAAGAGTATATTAAGACTTGTAATATCTGTCAAAGAATAAAGATCTCACAGTATAAGTAATACAGGGAGTTGATATCACTGCCTGTTTCAAAGAGCTTATGAAAGAATCTATCAATGAATTTCATAGTTAATCTGCTGAAGTCAATAAGAGTCAAAGAATATGACTTAATTTTGATCATTGTTGACTGCTTCATGAAGATAATCAGATATATTTCTACTTATAAAAAGATTAAAGTCTCTGAATTGACTGACCTGTTTTTAAATATTATTATTTATAATCACAGTGCTCTGAAATCATTGATAACAGATTAAGAATTTCTCTTTATCAGTAAATACTGATCAGCTTTTTGCTATCATCTTATAATAAGATATCTTCTCAGTATCACATTTCATTCACAGACAGATGATCAGACTGAATATCAGAATCAGACACTAGAATAGCATCTTTGAGCATTCTATTCATATTATCAGAATGATTGGCCTAAACATCTTCTGATCATCAAATTCATATATAATAATACAAAGAATACAATCTTAAAGGTATCTTCTTTCTATACTTATTATGAATATAATCCTTCATTACTCAGTGATGTTGTGAACAACATTTCAAAGAGAAAGATAGACAGTCAGAATATTGAACAGATACAGAGAACAGAGTATTTCTCAGTATCAGAAGTAAAAGCAAGATTAGAACTTTTAAATAAAATTCATGAGAAGACAGTGAAAAGCATTCATCATACTTAGAAGCAGTAGATGAAATACTATAATTGAAAATATCTTTCAATGAAGTTCTTAATAGAGAATCAAGTACTACTTTCAGTAAAAAATATCAAGATAATAAGACTGTGTAAGAAGCTCAGTGAGTGATGACTAGAATCTTTCTCAGTAATAAGAGTGATAAGTAAGCAGATATATAAGTTGAAATTACTCACAGAATTGAAATCAATTCATTCTATTTTTCACATTTTCTATTTGAAGCTCTATAAGTAATATCTCAGAACAGAGCTGTCTTGACTGAATAATATTGAGATTGAGAATGATACTGAATATCTTGTGAAGAAAATATTGAATAAGTGAATATATTACAGCAAGCTTCAATATCTTATGAAATAAGAAGATTATTCATTGTCAGAGAATTTATAGAAACTGCTTAAGTATTTGAAAAATGCTGAGAAAGAGATTGCAAGCTATGAGATGACTAGTAGAGATTATCTCATTACATATCAGAGATGTTGAGTAAGAAATACTGCTTAAAACTTCTCATTTTTTTCTAAAGAGTTTTTTAGAGATGATCTTATAATAGTGAGTCAGTGTCTTATAAGCTCTGTAGCACTCTTCTTCTATTTTCTCTTAAAGAGTTTTTTAGAAGTTTAATAAGACTATACAAGTATAAAATTTCTGAAGCAGTTAATAAGAAAAGAAAGAGATATTTGAAATTAATAAAAAAGATTGATATTATTAATCTGTAAGCTGCTGCTATTCTAATGAGACTGCAGCCTGCTAAAAAAGTAAAAAGAGAGAATCTCAGAGCCTACTCATTAATAATTATATCTTCATTAAACTCATTCTTCACTGTTAAAGTCTTCAGCACTGATATCTTTATCTGCTGAGAAGTTAGCACTGTAATACTGTAGAGAAGCATGCTGCAGAAGAGTATAAGAGATACTGAAAGTATTAACTTATTAACTTATAAAATATCTCAGTTATCTGTTTTAACTGAAGTGAGATTCTCTTTAATCAGTAATTAATCTTCACAGTACTTTCAACAGCAGTGCTGACTGATCTCTTCTTGAGATCAGTCATTCTGAGATGTTTTTTCATCTCAGAGATTCACACTTTCATCTTCTTTTACAGATGAGCAAGAGAGATCTTCTTAGTCTTGATAAAATCTGTCAACACTTAAAGCTCTGAGACTCTTGCTCTGTACTGCTTGAGTATCTAGACTTCTTATCAGAGCTGATACAATGTCTTTCTGTGAAATAATACTTACAGAGAGACAGAAGTTATTGTTACAGATATAATAGAAATAATGAGAGTGAGAGAAGAAGTAAGTGTATAAAATCTCTTTCTTCTTCAGCTGCTTAATACAGTGCAGACAAGTAGCAGTATCAGTCAGAGACTGCATCAGAGCCTTCTTACAGAGAGAAGACAAAGAAATCACAGAACTCTGCAGACTTAACTCAGCAGCATTCTGAGCAGGGCTCAGATATGTTATAAAAGAGAAACTATGAATTGAGCTTCTTAAAGCTGCTGTTTCTGAAATCAAGCTCTTCTCAGAGTTCTCTTCAAATAATCACACAGGATCATACATTACTGTGTTGATTGAAGGAGAAGGCAGTGTCACAACAGCAGTGAGAGAGGTAGAGAAAGAACTGGACACAGACAAACCAGCTGGTAGAAGAGACAACACCTCACTGCAAGGCACAGCAACTACCACTGCAGCTGCAAGAGAAGTAGAAGAAGATGTGACAATGAGAGCAGTGCTTCTGCAGCTCATTGACACCATTATCTCTGTCTTCAACCTGGCTTTCTTGGCGGCCACAGAGGCCGCAGCTGCACCATGAAGATATTTATTCACTAGAAAACATCAGAATAAGCCTCTTATTGTCTCTCAAGAATGATGCTCTTATACACTCACTATTATAGATGAGAGAGAGGGAGAAAAATGTGTCACAGAGAGAGAAAAAATCTTTTCAAAAAATCCTATCACTACTGTTAACTTTGTCTCTAAAACACATCACTTTTGCAGAGAATTTCATATATAGGATGAAATATGATGAGAGATCTGCAAGTCACTTATTAACTACATTTTCTACATCTTAAATTGATATATAAGAAACTCACTTATTACATATTTGATTTGAATGAAGATGAAAAAGAAAAGACCTACATAGTCAGCAGAAGAACTCATCTATTTCTTTATATCATATACAGCATATACACTATCAATCAGTTGATAATCATTGCTATACAATAAAGATAATTCCTAATTCAGTAATCTTGAGAGTATAGAGACTATGCTCTTAAAGAGAAGAGTATTATCACACTCTCAGCTATGTCAAGACTCTGTTACAGTTTCACACAGCTTATCACTTTCATATGAATGATTTCATTCTATCTGAACCAGTTTTCAATCACTCTATAATATCATTTGAATATATCATAGAAAGATCTGATTAATGAATATAAGAACCTCACTTCAATATAAGATCAGCAGATTACTCTTTCTTAATAATGAGACACTGCTGAGATATCACTCTGACTATTCTTACTTATGAAATAAGAGAAGAGTATTCACTCATTGTCTATATAGAATAGCTAGATGCTGACTCCTTATTAAAGAAGCCAGTGATTTATTTTTTCTTCAACTGAAATATATACAAGAGTTACTGTGTGTCTCATACAATCTTCTTAGTATACTAAGTATCATATCTGTGATATTCTCACAATAACCCTGTAGCCTACAAGCTCACTATTTAAGCAAGATAGTCAAGCTCACTTATACAGCTTCTTAAACAACTACCTCTACATGACACCGCTGACTAGCCACCGCTTCGGTTCCGCCACGTTACACAGGCGCTGAGCTCAACTACTCAGTGTATAAAAAGGAATTAATAGTAAGCAAGCATATGCTGATGTTATGAGATAAATATATTAATAACAGACATATAACAACAGTGATCACAGATTATAAAAGCCTTGTCTATCTACAATTAATAATAAAATCTTTCAAATACTTAGTATATTGAATCTCGGAGTTCTAAGCATACAATCTTCATATTAAATACTGAAAGAGATTGAACACTGTGATATCTAATACAATCAGTCACAGACTTCATTTTATGAGTAAGAGTTCTGTGAATCAGATACAAGAGAAGTTAACATTAAATACACTGAGAAGATGCAAGAAATCAGAATAAGTGAACACAATAATCTCTTACTTAAAGAATAGTAAGATGTCAGATAACAAGTATCTTGTGAAAGTGATAGAAGAGATACTTTCAAACTTTAAGCTGAGAAAATTAAAAAATGATGTTATACTTTATTATAATCTAGAATATGTAGAAGCTCTCTATCTGAAATATTTATTTAAATACAACTTAACAGCTTGTATGCACAAGGAATTCGGTCACTTAGAAAGTTCTGAACTCATGAGTATACTCAAATCAAGAGTATACTGACCAAGTATGACTGAGGACATTCAGATATACACTCACAAGTGTCTGAATTATCAGGTTGTGAAAGAATCTGAGAAAGAATTAGAACATAAGAAAGTGTGACATCAGATGAAATGTATAATATAACTGTTTAAATAATGAGAAATGAATCTCATAGACATATTACTGTGAACATTAAATGAGAATCATTGAATAATCACTGCTATTGACTACACTACTGACTGGCCAGTTGTGAAAGCAGTTTCAGAGGTGATAGAGAAGATGATGACAAAGTTTCTACATAATAAGATCTACATCAACTATGAAATGTCATATGAGATTCTAACTGATAATGATATGAATCTTATAGAAGAAGTAGTGAGGCATTTTATGAGCCAGTTATAGACAAGATATCATAGAACAATGTCATATCATCTGTGAATGAATGAGAAGATGAAACACTTGAATGAAATCGTGAATAACATGCTGATAAAATATCTAGTGAGTAAGTCTACAAGATTATGAGATGAATATCTCAGTCAGGCACTATTAGTTATGTGAATTCAGCAGTATGCAGTCTTCAAGTATTCATTATTCTATCTGTTGTATGGATTGCATCTGTGCATCTTAGAGAATGCTTTGAAAAAGATGAAAGAGAGAACAACAGTTGCAGACACAACAGTTACAGATGCAGCAGTCACAGACATAGAATCAAGATTGAAAGAGATCAGTTATACACATGCAAAAGCTAACAAGTTACTTCTGAATCAAACAATTCAATTGAAAAGAATACAAGACTCACTAGTTAAGAAATCAAGTCTTAAGATGAGAACATGAGTTCTTATACATAATGAGAGTTCTGAGAAGTTTCAACCTAGATGGTTTGAGTCATATAAAATACTCAAATCACATTCTCTGAGAATATATGTATTGAAAGAATCAGAGAGACAGATCTTACACAACTTAATAAATAATTCACATCTTATGAAGACAAAGATACAAGACTTAAGTGAATTATAATTATTCACAGCACTATCATCAGTGTTGAAAAAGAAGAGACTTATAATTAAAAAGTCTCATGAAGTAAGAGAAATCATAGATGCTGATGAATTAGATGATCTCACTTATTCTGATCTTTTCACAATTATAAGAAAAGAATGAAAAGTAATGAAGAAATCAGATAAACATCATACTTTAATAAGTGATGAGACTGTAGTCAGTCATATGATAATACACTGCAGATAGTAAGTGTAACACAGTAAAGAGCAGTCTCAAAGCAGCAGACTTATATATGAATCAGATTACAGAAGAAAAAGAGATTCAGAGTTGAATTCAACTGTTTACATCAGTTCAATTATAGAGACAACAGTGAATGAATCATCTGAAACATTCATGAATATATGAGATTAAGTCATCTCAATTCCTGAGAATGCTTAGAGATTGAGTGAGATTAGTTTCAATGAGCTGTTCACTGTAGTGATTTGAGCAGGTGAAGAGAGACAGTATAATACATGAGACAGAATTATAAAAGATGAAAGCTGCTGAATCTAGTCACTGAACACTGTATTATATAGAGATTGTGTAAGAGTAGTGACTAACAGATAAAGAAAAAGTATAAGAAAAGAAAAGAGATAATGAATTGATTATCAACTATAAGAGTCAGCTGTAAAAGACAAATGTTATCATACATATCTCATTCATTTTCATACATTATATATTTAATCTATTTTCAACATCACATCATCTGAAAAATATTAAAAGTAAAGAAAATCTCAAAATATAAAATCTATAAGAGATATGAGAGCTGTAAGTTGCTCTTATAAAATATTATATACATCTCTGATTTCTCTATCACTCTGCATACAACATTAATATCATTTCTCACAAGATTGACTGAAATGTCAATATAGAAATGTGTACATATGTATATAGAAAAATTGAAGAAGAGCACAGAACTCACAAAATCAGAAGTCAGAGTAGAAGAGATAGAGACAGAAGAAACAGAGGAAGAAGATGCAGAATCAGATAAATAACAGCAAAAGTCACTCAGAGTCAAACACTTACAATCTGATGTGTACATAATCTTTCTCACAGAGAAGAGAGAGAAAGCACTGAGAGAAGCTTGAGAGTGAGAGAGAGTAGTCTTGACAGTATTATCATCTTTTATTAAAATGACCTCTGATGCTGAAGTAACTAAGAACTATTATTAGTATACAAAACTGTAAAAACAGAAGTAATAATTACTGAATGAACATCTGCTGATCTTAGAATTGTATATATAATTACAACATACACAAGGCTTCTCAGAAAGAGAGAGAGAGACACAGAGAAATGCAGAAAGCAGAACACAGCATGTGAACAGTTCATTTTCACAATGATATCTCAGATAAGACATACAAGTCTCACAGCTGCAGATGTAAAAGAGTATGATATTCACATTTCTGTTTCTGAAAACATGAATATCTTTCATCTGCATTATGAAGTTGAACAACAGATATCAGAGAATAGACTGATACAGATCTATCAACTCAAAGAAATTTGTCAGAGTAGATATATCTGTAATATTAAATTTAACAGTCATGAAAAGTTTCTTAGTATCTGTGAACATCATAACTTTATATACAATAAAACTCATAACAATTTTCTCTAAGAACAGAAAAATCAGTGTTAAAAAGAAAAGATGAAAAAGAAAAAGACTTATAATCTTAATACTATTAAGAGAGGAAATGATTATCTAATATAAATAAATAATTATCTCATCACAAATATTGAAAATAAATATAATAATCAGTATTCACAACTGAGCTTCAGATAGTTATATCATATACAGTCTTTATATAATAAATTATTTTAGAACTCAGTAAGAAGAATAAGAGTGTATATACTGAAAAACATTATTCATTAAGTCTATGCAACATCTTCTTGAAACAGAAAGAGCTGATAATGAAAGCAGAGACAGTAGAAGCAGAGAGAGCAGAAGTAGTGAAAGTGAGAGTCATGAGAACAGAAATAGCAGGAGTAAAAGAATTAGATACAGAGATAGATGTAGAAAATTGAGAGAGAGCAGCAGAGAAAAGAACAGAGAGAACAGAAGAGAATGTGAAAGACTCAGTCACATATAATATAGATAATTTCTTCATTATTGCATCTCTCAAGTTCTCAATTAACAATTCAACATTGAAATCATAATTATCAGTGAATGCAGATCTGTCAATATATAAAGATTCTATGTGAATTAAAACAAATATATCAGTATCTGCAGTCATGTAAAATGATTAGAAAATATGATCAGAAAAACATAATCAGATATCTACTAAAGAAAAGAGAGTCAAGAGTATATAAGAAGATAAAGAAGATATGTCATTTATAATAGTACATTCTGATAATTGTTAGAAGATAAACAAGTT